AAACGGCGGCGGCCTCTTTCAGGAGTTCGCGGGCGCGCGCAAAGGCCCCCTGGCGCTCCTCCAACCCCGCACTTTCCAACCAAAGCCGCGTCCCGTTGGCCGCCTCGAAGGGGAATTCGCGAAGGCCCCGCATCAGGGCCTGGCGCGCGGGTTCGATCTGCCCCGCGGCCTCCGCCCGCCGGGCGTATTCGATGATTAAAACCGCCCGCCGCGGCGCGTGGTCCGGCGGCGGGGAGGCGATGTGGAAGACCCCCTCCAAACACGCCATCGCCTCCCGGCCGATTTCCGCCAGAGACGAGGCGGAGTTTGCCACCGCGGAGGCGTCTGCGGCCCCCGAAGACGTCGCCCCCCGCCGCTCCTCCTCCCGAAGCAGCAAATACAAACTTAACCGGGCGTCGAGGTCCCCCGGGTCGCTTTCCAGGCGCCGTTTGTAGAGTTGTTGGGCGGCAACGCGCGAGAGGGCCTCGCAGTTCGCGCGGTCGCCGTGAAGCCGCTCGAAGGCGCCGTAGGCGCCGAGGACGCACTCGGCCAGCCGCCCCGTGGGCCCGGTGCGGAGATTGCGCAGAAGGCTTTGATAGCCGGCGCGGGCCTGCGCGATCTCGCCGGCCCCCACCATCACCTCCGCGAGGAATAACGGCACGCGGCAGTCCAGCGGGCCCCACAACAACTCCCCCGGCAAGGCCTCGAGGGCGGTCCGGAGCACCCGCGCCGCCCGCCCCCCGTCCCCGAAGACGTCGCGCTCGATCTGGGCGAACAACAGCCACGCCTCGGGGCGATTCCGCGCCTCGACGTAGCGCCGCAGGACCTCCCGGCAGGCCCCCGCCTGCCCTCGCTGCACCTCGAAGAGGGCGTAGAGCGCGAAGGCGTCGTCCGGGGGGCTTTCCCCGGCGATCCACCGGCTGAAGACCTCCCGCGCCTTCCCGTCCTCCCCCGCGGCCTGCTCCAGGACGAGGTACTTCAGCCAAAGGTCCGTGCTGAGCGGCAGGGCGCGGACGGCGTGGTGGTAGACCGCCCGGGCCTCCGCGACGAAGCCGTGGGCGGCCTCCAGCTCGGCGTAGTCGCGCCAGAAGTTCGGGTTATCGGCCTGGACCGCGCGCGCCCGGGCCAGGACCGCGCGCATGC